TTCACAAAAACAAAAACTTGAAAAACGAATAAAAAAAAAAAAAAGAAAATTTAGTTCAGTACTCACGATAGTTAAACTTCGTGAGTACTGTATTTATGCATGACGTACTCACGAAGTTTAACTATCGAGTACTGAACTAAATTTTCTTATTTTTTTTTATTTTATTCGTTTTTCAAGTTTTTTATTTAGTGAGATACATGAATACAGTACTTATTTTTTTAGAGATTCGTTCTTTCTATGGGTCTGGTGAACCCCTTGTTACCTGAGAAATTGTGTGTCTTTATACTCATCTTATGTTTTCCACTATTTTTGAACACTTAAAAATCATAGTTATAAACATTGATACTAGCTTCTGTTAAAAACATTACATAAAGGGAATAAAACTTAAAGAGAAATAATTCGATTCTTGAAATGCTTATTTTGAACGATTGTACAATGTACTAAAAATTTTAAGTATAAAAAAAATATAAATCAAGTTATTTATGCATGCAGCATTAACTATTGTCAAACTGGCTATAATGTTCCTCTTTATTAAACCGCCGTAGCAGCTTTATCCTTGGACAGCATTGTACGCAAAAAAGTGGCTACATCTTATCTTATCTTACTAATATATGAAGCAATGTCGCTAAAACCGTTGTAATCGCTAATCGCGAAAACCACTGAACCGATTTTGCTAAAATTTTGCATACTGATTCTTGATAATTCCGAGATGGTTTTCGCATAGTTTTATTCTTAAAAAAGTTAATAACAATAGCGATAAACAAGCTCGAAGTTTTGCTAAAATGAGCAAGCGCTTTAGTTAAGTAGGATTGGCTAGGTAGCGTCGAAGTAAAATTGAAGCCACCCGCAATCAAAGATAGTGAAGAATAGTTACAAGATGCCCCATCGAATTGTCAATTGTCGTAGTCGGTCATCGGCAGTACACCAAGCACAGAGTTGTTAGTCGTGCAATTGGGCATCCCGGCTACTGATGACACTCTTCACTGGCAAGCGAAATAAATCGGTTTGTACCCTGGATCGCCAAAATAAGCGAGTGCCACGGTAAAATAGGCGGTCAGAACGTCAACGTCTCCGGCGGAAAAATAGGAGACGTGTCTAGCTAGAGCACAACCTGCTCCAACACTTCAGAGCTTTTCGGCCGTTCAACAATCCGGCCTGGTGCCGTCAGTGAATTTTCAACTTTAAATGCAAACCAGGGACGAGAGCCCTGAAGAGTATGGGCAGCCACAACGGCTTCCTTCGTAGTGGTCATCCCGAGGGCATACCTTACAGAGAACGTATTTTTCAGGCCTACTCTTCCAACTAACGATGAGCGCTTAGTTATCTGGGGAACGACCAGAAGACGAGATATTCTTTAGTCAGTGGCGTACCTTCCTCCATCACGGTCTCCGTGCACAGAGACTTCGAGGGCAAGAGTCAAGCTACCCACAACCAGCTCTTCATCATCAAGAATAATGATGAAGAATAGCTGGAAGTTTCACCACTGGCCCTTTTTAGGTCCACTTCCAGTATTAACGTTTCCTATTTAACCATCAATCTCATCGGTACTTTTATGGGCCACCTAAATTGAAACTACCTTTTCAACAAGTACACTTTTACTATCATTTCCGAAAACGATTCATCGACTAAAAGACTAAGTAAAGCCAGCCACTAGTAAACCAAGTCATTCATTCACTTGCAGATGTCACAAGTGAAATTTTTTGTTTCTGGGAAACCAGGAATCACCGATCCTCTCCAAGGTCTGCGCTGGGTGAACCTAACAGCTATGAAGGAAAAATAAACTTGAGCCAACGGGCAAGCATCACGAACCAATCTCTCCACCTTAGATCACTAAAACAACTGAGTCTGCAAAAAAAGGCACTTTACGAGCTTTAGATACCAACGTCTTTGACGTTATACCAGAAGACGTTGGAAAAGAGCCCTACAACCAGCTCTAAAGCTTCAAACGTTGTAGTTTCCCTCCTGATCAGTGTGGTGCTACAATAACAAGCCAGAAAAGATCATCCTGAGGTATACAAGCAATTACGTTTTCCGGAAACTTCAGTCAAGAAAGAGTTTACTTAAGAAGCTCACTGGTCCTTTTCAGGGTCATCGGATATCTAACTATCTTGCCAACAATATCTTACAACCTAATAAAGTTGAAAAAATGGGCTTTAGAGCTCACAAAAGTCTTAATTATGTTAAAAGTCGCAAGAAATCGAATTGGAAGGAAAACTTCAAATGCATCTAATGAATACAATTTTAGGAGTCAAGAAAATGACGCTAAACCTTTATAGAGATTAAAGCAGCATCAAAATCGATAAATAAAGAATTTATTGAGTGAGAGATCAGTTTTTTATCATAACCCTCATAGTAATCATAGGAATATGTATTTGTATTTTTGTGGTGATAAAAAATGTAGACATTAAACGTCAGGACTTTGTTGCTGTGGTAATGAAGTTGTGAGGTAAGAGAAAAAAATTTTTTTTAATTATACATTTTTTGTGAGTTTTAAATCTTCACAGCTTTAAAAAATAGCCCTTATCTTAGATTATACGGAAGAAACTGCAAATCAACGACCTTTCAGGGCCAACGATTATTTTATGGCATAAGGAATGCACCGTACTTTTCAGCATAATTGTATTTTTCTCACTTTTTACAGCATTTTACTTGATTCAATAAACTGTATGGATTACAAACAAATATGTTTTTAATTAAAAGATTTTTGTTCTGAAAAGTGTCAGAAATAGAGGTAGAATTTTGAACTGAAAACGTTTCACATTACGTGTCAACACACTACGGTGTTTCATTTAGTGATTCTCGGTCGAAGTCAAGACGGAGGGCGCTAGTACTTCTATCTACTAACAAACATTATTTAATAAACTTTTTGAAAATTGTTGGGTACTTTTAATGAAATCAGCAAGAGAAAAGTAAAAATGCTGAATGATAACTCGTGACTCACCATTATCCATAACTTTGCATTAACGCAAACAATTAACGATGATTTTCGGCGAATATAAATATTTTTGCAACTAGACTGAACCAACAGCTTACAATAAGTAAAATGTGTTTGTTGATCACCTCCCAATTAAAACAATTAAAAAAATGTATGAGAACCCTTTAACTTTATGAGTAGAAAAAATCTACGAAAGAATGAATGGAATTACCCTCATGTTTGGTTGCATGATTAAGATAATTAGGAAAATGATAGTTAAGGACTCGCCTTTTGAGGTGACGTCAAAGCAAGAGCAGTATTTGCCTGCGATATCCTTGCCATTTCTACACGGAAAGACCGAGTTCATTGAAAATCCCCTACTACAATATTTGATCGTAAGAAATACTAAACCAACGTTATATTTATTGCTTACTAATGCAAGAATTTTTAGTGTCACCTTAAGTGGTCTTAAATTTCGTACCAAGTGTATAGGTTTTAAGATATCACTACAAGTATTTAGTGACGGTAGTACAGTTTTTTCCCGTACCAACAGTAGCTATGAAAAATAGATGTATCCAGTAGGTGTTTACGACGTACTATAGTGCGTAGAGCACTATATTTTTTTTTGCGATATGCATTTTTAATATACCTGCAGGTGTATTAAAAATTATAATTAAAAATTATTCATATTCATTGTAATATCATTTTTATTGTAATAAATGTATGTACCAGCGTTAAAAAAATAAGTGACAGTTAATTATCATACTCGTGCAGTGATGAATCTTTAATGCTGTTACTATAAATATCAAAAGTAACCTTAAAGTGAATCATGGATGACTTTATTAAAATATTTTAGTGAGTTGAAAATCACAACATCTCACTAATATTTTTCCATGTGAATAAAATTATTCAATTACTTATTTATTTACATGAGAGAATACCGTACCTAGTGTTTATATAAACTTACCTAACAGTGGAAGGAGATTTTACATGGCTAACATATTTGAGCGTAGGTTTTAGACAGATGTGGTATGGGAAAAAATCGTACCAAGCTATGAAAAATTCATAACTAAGTGTAGTAGGGGATTTTCAATGAACTCGGTCTTTCCGTGTAGTGATTAAAAGAGAATACTGTAGTTGAACCCATTACCAGACTTCAATCTACAGCATAAGCCAGCTTTAACATCCTCTACTCTTTTACGCAGTAATAACAAGTAATTTTAAACTTTTTTCGTACATAACTTTTGGTCAACAGCTACAATGACGATGAACATAATGCACAACACTAAGAGCCTTAGGATTAATAAACTGACAGTATAAACATAACTGCTTTAGAATATATATATGTATAGTTCAGATGAACTAAATTGTCTGCGTATATGGTAACGTTTACTGTACTACTTGTGGATTGCTTGTTTACGCATCACCACTAGGCTAGGCGGTGTTGCCGTTCACGTTAAGTACGGAAACGAATCAATAAGCCTTGGGTGAACATGTTCGTCACTAGATTTAGTCTATTAAGTTATTTGTAATGCTCTGAGAAATCCTAGAATCACCGAAGCATAATAAATTTATATTTACCGTCCTGGTGATAAATACAGATATGCACCTCAATGTCTCTTGGGTCGTTTAAAGCGCTCCGAACACTTAATCAAACAAATCTTTTTACTGAGACCTTCCCTGATCGCTGAATTTTGGCTTTTACAGTAGTAGCTTTAATTCGAATTTTTTGTAGTAAGTAGTATGGACCTTCTGCAACTTGTGGAGGCTTTTATCTGAAATGGAGATTCTTCATTAGGAGGCACATCGCCATTGGGTTCATTTATTATCTGTATGTTAAGTCTTGCAGTGCCAATGGGTGTACACCGACTATAGTTGATTCTTCACACGAAACTCAGTTACATTTTTTATTTTTCAATTAATAACTTACTAACATTCTTCAGATGTTAAAAAATATGTTTTATTACTTTAAATAGTACTTATAGCTTCTGAATTACTTATTAAACTAAAAATAATTTTTTTTACACGCTCTAAAGTCTGTTAATTTGTCTATCTACTAATTTTTTAAATCTGCATTGCTATTTAGAAACATAACTATTGCGCAACCTCTGGGAACACACAAGTAGAAATATTTGACCAGCCGAACTTGATAAGTGGCTCTCAGATGATAGACGAGCATAAAATTAGTCATCTAAAGCTTAAAACTGCAGCTGCCAAGTTGGACAAGGATCAAAATTTCTTGAAAGAAGCTGATAAAAAACTAACGTACGAAGATTTAGCTCTGCTCTGCGACTTATTCTATTTACCCTTTGAGCATGGTGGACACGGCATCCAATTGCTTCAAGAATTCAATTGGCTCAAAAGCAACGCTTACATTGTTATGCAAAAGTTTAAGGATGAAAAGCCAGCAAACAAATCAGATGTAAGTCAATAACAGCTGAATTTATGGGGTTTTAAACATTTATTCGTATTAAAAACTAATTACAACTAGATCAAATCTGGTTAATTTGAATTAATTTGCTTTTAGTTAAAATATTTAATAATTGTTTTAGGTTGAAGAGTGGTATGCTCGTGCAGCTAAAATGCATGACATGTGTGATGGAGTTAATCGCTTACTTCAGAGGTTATCTTGTTGCAGAAACAGAGAATTGCTATACGATCTATACTCTTATGTCTGGGATATACGTGGGGTCATATCGCTGTTGAATAGTTATGTAAAGTGGCTGGGTAAGTTTTTTTTTTTTAACTATTTGGTTCCTATATTGTATTTGGGATTATTAAAATTTTTTAATTAATAAGCATAGATTGTTTTATATATCATGCCATAAAGTTTGTTCTTTGTATCCCTTTTACCGATATACAGTCATATACTTATACATTTTACAAGATGTATTCAATAGTTTCTACTGTTTTACAAGGTATAACCACTACTTTCAGTGTAGCACAGCACAAATAGCATCATGCTGGATAATTTATTCTTGCTAAACTACTGTGATATTGTATGTATGTGTATAATTTTTTTTTTTATCTTAAATCACAAGAAAATGATAATATATGTTGCGCGGTAGCAACATAAAGTTTCTTAATCTGTGGGATCTAATGAACATATTTATCCAAAAAAATTCCTTTGCCATTGATCTAGCATGACACCGCCAATTTTGACACGTCTAAATGGGCAAGTGATACATACCTGTCCTATAACTTATTTCTTGTTTACTTGTGACTAAAATTTACATTCTACATAAAGCTGGATTCATGGTCAGAAAGAAATGTTCTAGTTAAAAAGTAAAAAGATTTAAAAGAAGCTATTAAAAATATATCGTATACAATGAATTAAGTGTAGGTATGTGTATAAGCTGTTGTTATTGTATTAATCCGGTTGCTCAATCAATCTCACCAGTAGGGTGTCCCTTATTTACAAAATTTTTTTTGCCTTTGCCGCCTCCTAAAAACTTTCTTTAACAAATAATAAATTTATTATTCTCACCAAAAAATTTAAACTGTGCCAACTGGATAACAAATTTTTTTGGGTTACAAATAACTGAAAATAACACTCAAATAATTGGATCTAAAACCCTTTTATCTTCCAGTTTTTCAGGCTGTTTTCTCAGCTGTCAGCACTAAATGAAACCACGTGATGTAAGTGGAAACGTAAGGAGTAAGGGAATGTCAGATACACAAATAGCAAATCAACGGCTCGGTAAAAGACAAAGCCAACTCAGATACTTGATGAAAAACGAGGCAACTCGAAATTTGGGTTGAAAAAGCAGTCAACTCAGATTTGGCTTAAAAAAGGAGTCAACTCAAGTTTGGATTGAAGAAGCAACCAACTCGAGAGTAATTTTTTTCATCAAGTTTTGTTGTGGTAGCACTGACATTTACGATAAAGGTATACCTATATAAACAAACAAAGATTTTTCAATAATCCAATGTTTCAAAAAAATAATTTGTTATTGTAATAGAGCGTGTTATACTTATTTAATTATGTGCTTTAAAATTCTGCTGCGATTAGACGTAATTCTATGATAAGTCTGTGGACGTCATTCATTTTGAATGTTTTTTAAAAATTTGAAACTAATTTTTTGTTTTGAAACATCGTCTTGAAAAAACAACTTATTTCAACTACAAAGATTTTTTTTTTTAACTTTAGTATAAAGTATCAAATACATAAATTCTATATCAACGCGGCGTACTATTTTATAATATTTTTATAAAAACTGTGATATTCTTGTACAAAAGTGATAAGGTATCATACACAAAAAATCTATATTTTTGGAAGTATATTAATATGTGTGCACGTTCGCATACAACATTATAGTCATATTTATTTAACGTTTTCTCTACCTCCTATGATCACAGCAGAATAGTAAAGTGCACAATTGAATAAATGTAGTATGCTCTATGACAATAACGTAAATTATTTAACCGAAAAATAAGATTATTGAAAAATCCGTGTTTGTTTATATAGGTGTACCTTTATTGTGAATGCCAGTGCTACCACGACAAAACTTGATGAAAAAAAATTACTCCCAAGTTGGCTGCGTCTTCAACCCAAACCTAAATTGGCTCCTTTTTCAAGCCAAATCTGAGTTTACTGCTTTTTCAACCCAAATTTCGAATTGGATTCTTTTTCACCAAGTATCTGAGTTTGCTCTGTCTTTTACCGAGCCGTCGAACTACGCTTGTACATCGCTTACCGGCTTATCCACAATGGTTCTACTTGTTCTCTAATTTTGTCTACTCTACAATTTAGCAGTGTATCCTATCTTATTTTGGGCCGTAATAGTTGTATTGCCTTAACGTCATTTGACGTCTATGAAACACAGTGCAGCGTAGTGCAGGAATAGTGAAACTGATTTTCATCGTGAACACATCACACAATCGTGAATTACTGATTTTTCATGTTATATCTTTTTCAAAGTGAGATTGTATTGATTACATCAGTATTAATAAAAATTTATAACTTAAGGTTGCTTATCTTTCCATACATTATTATCACTCAATATTTTGATTCGTCTATGTCAAAAATATGTTTGAAATCAAGTTATGTAAAAAACGTTTATATTACTTGTCCATTTTTACTTAATACATAGTAATTGTAATAATAATGACAATAACAATAATACGAATAATAATAACAATAAGAATGATAATAATAATACTAATAATGATAATAATAATACTAATAATGATAATAATAATAACAATTACAATGATAACTTTATGTAAAAAAATTCAGCGTGAGGAGACCATTACAGATATGGTATACAGAAAAGACCAGACAAAGTGTGGAAGAAAGTGAGAGAGTGAGAGAGAAAGAGAGAGACACGATGTGGTAAGGATAAGCAACTCAGCAACTGCAGCAGTGAGTTCTACATACGAGCGAGAGAGTGAGAAAAATAAAGAGGCACAAGCTCTGTCGTATGTGATATCATCGACATACACTATAACTATCGACACTGTGTAATCTGCTCAGTGATAGTAGTCTACTATAGGGTCTCTAAATGAGTGCACGTATTTTGTCCATTTTTCCAAAGTACAGTGCGCACACTAATGACTACTTGACCTTTGCATCAGCTACTACGAGCAACTTGCACTTTCTCAGTTTAGAAATCTCCAAGGCCCACCGATCCACGGGGACTACTTGACTGACGAGTGTACCACCTCTGAAAGCTTGATAATTCTTCAGCCCACAGCAAAGTCGTGCGCCCGTAGCTTTCGAGTAACCAGATAAAAGTTGAGTTTGTGTTTGCATAAATTAGCTTTTTCGAGCTCTCTTCAACCCTTAGAATTTCTTTTGTTTACTTTTCGTCTATTGTATTAATAATAAAAGTAAAAATAATAATAAACGCATCAAGAGTAAGTATTACTGTTAAACTGTTACTATCATGTATGTGTCAAATTATACTGTCAATATTATAAATAACGGAAAATGTTAACTCCTTATTGTTACTTAATTATTAAATGTTAGGTTAGTCGATTAAGATATTACTATATTAAAATAAATAAAATATTCGTAAACTTACACTTTAACGGGCACGTTATGCACAAAATTAAGTCAACGATTTCAAAATTTTCATGTTTAAAAAATATGTGACAGACATACATTGTTACCATCACTTTCAGTTCCGGGACTAGTAAAAAACTGACACTAGTGAATTTTTAACTTCCCAATTTACATCGTAAAAAAAAAAAAAAAAACACTTCTGCGGAGATTGAACTTAAGCTCTCGTGCATAAGATTCCAGCACCATATTTACTCGCTCACAAGCGACCTCTTATCGGTGATTACCTTTCACTACATGTATGGTGTGGCTTGCAACTCAGTTTTAGCTTAAATATTCATTTGCTGTTTTTTTTTTTTTTTTTTTATTTGTTTCTTTGAAACAACATTTGTAAGTAGCAGCTTTTCTATACTTTGATAAGTTATGTTATTTTCATTCGTTTTTTAATTTTAAAATAAATATATGACTAATTATTTGAGTTCGAAATTTTTTTCAAGTTATTTTCCAGCAAAATTTCACATTTTTTTTCATCATTGGTTTACTCTTGCGACGTTCTATGGATAAATTATTTCATTTTTACTGTGTCTTATCCTTTCAAAAATTTTCACAAAATATGGTGATTTTTTTAGTTAAATAACATTTACAGCACTTTTTTACTTACATAATAGTATTTTTTTTTTCATACTCCCGCCGAAAGTACGACTTTGTTTCCTGTTTTCAGAAATCAAAGTGCAACACTCCTTCCAGGTAGGAAATCGCATATACTGCTCGTACGAAAAATATTTTAATATTCTGTGCACAGTCCCCCCCCCCCCC